AAAATTTAAAATAAATTTTGTATAAGATGGGAATGCTTTCCATGATTCATGATTCATGATTCATTAATTATCTCATCTTAACATCTGTCTAAATTCACATTCCCATGTTTTTTATCCTTGTATAAAGGAAATGCCTTTCTTTTCAATTGCTTACATTAGTTATTCAAATTAACATCTTTGTGTTCATGGTTCTCATCTATCCAATTTACATCTGATAACAATATTCTCACAAATTCCGATGTATGCGAATCAACATCTCTTTAAATGTTTGAATAATTAGGAAAAAACCACACCCACTTCCTAATATATAAGCTTGTCAAATTTTACTGCTTTTTTTTGTTTGTGATATAGCAGAGACGAATAAACCCTTCTTCATACGAGTTGGTTCCACGCAACACAAATAATCCATTGGACTATCCACAGAAGAAAAATTTCACGACAGAAATTTTATGGTGCCGCCGGTAGGGGTCATAATGTCGATCTCTTTCAATCAATCAGCACAACCAACAATTGGTAGAGTAATCGAACTCCTGGATGAAGTCAAGAAACTTGACTTGTCATTACCCGATCGAGACAAGCCGCTAAAAGATCAGAAACAGCAATATGAAATTAAGAAACGGATCGTGAAGGATAAAATTAAGCGATTCGAACTATATGTTGGTACATTGGAAACAATCAACCAAAAATGGTTGGACCTTATACAACAAGCGAACAAACCAACAAAGAAAGAAGAAGAAGGAAAATACGAGGGAATGGTCAACGATAAACAAGGTATTTTACACATGATTAATAATTGTAAGGAAACTATTACTACATTGAATTCATATTATGAGGACTTAGAATCAGCCTTTCAACAAGAAAAGTCTATGGTTATTAAAGAAAAAGAAAAGGAAATAGTGAAGCCTTCATCCGTCTGCCATTCAACCATAAATTTACCACAGTTACCACTGCCCACCTTTAGTGGAGATCTAAAGCTGTGGCGAGAATTTTGGAATAGCTTTAATGCAGCTATACATCTTCAGGAAATTCCAAACATCCAAAAGCTTACTTATTTGATTTCATGTTTAAAAGGAGAAGCATTGGAGGCAATCAGAGGATTTGAGGTAGCTCCAGAAAATTATGAATTAATGAGACAGGTTTTAATCGATAAGTATGGTAAGTCTGCTGCTATCAAGAAATCGTTATATGATGAATTTTATTCCATTCAACGGAACGACAAAGAATGGAAAAAGGGAATCGAAGCAATGGAGAAAATTCTTCGACAGCTAGAAGCGTTGGGGGAGAATCTGGAACACTCCAGTATTGAAGTAATGATTGAGAACAGACTACCGCCATGGATTTTGGATAAAGTTTATCAGATGAAAACAGAAAAGGAAATTTGGACGGTAAATAATTTACGAAAATTTCTAATGACATTAATCCTGAGAAATGAAGAGGTTAATAGAAATCAAATTTCCCGTCAGGAACCAAATTTAAGAAAGGAATTTCATTATCAAAGGGGGAAAGGAACTTCCGCTTTATTCATAACAAAACAATCGGAGGCGGGAAACCTTCAGTCAAGTAATAAGAGAAAGTTTAGCGTGGGAAAAAGACCATGCATATTTTGTAACAAAAACCATTGGAATAATGAATGCCCAAACTACCTGACGGTTAAAAAACGATTCGAACGCCTGAAGGAGCTCAAGGCATGTACGAACTGTTTCCGCATGAACCATGCAACAAGTAATTGCAAACAAAAGAAGCGTATCTGTTTCCACTGTAAAGGCGAACATAATACGGCATTGTGCTACAAGAAATATGGATCTATTGACAATGGTGTCAACAAAAGAGAAGCAAATTCAACAATTATTACAAAATTCACTAAATCAATCCATCAACCATGAAGGTAGGAAGGTTTTATTAATATGCAAAGAAATTGAAGCAGTTAATCCAAACCAATTGGAGATTCAAGAAGAAGCTTTGGTATTATTGATCCAGGTTCTCAATCATCTTTTGTATCAAAAAGCTAGCCAATCGCTTAGGTCTAACTGAAACTACGAAGGAGGAAT